GCCACCCATGCCTGTTTTCTGTGCTATTTCCTTGCTGGATCTTCCATTTATCCTTCTGTCTGACCTGTTCTTCAGTTGTGAATCCTCCCTTCTCTGATCATGTCCATGAATTTCTGGGGAAGGTGGCAACTCCAGAAGGCAGAGGAAGACCTAGTGTCTGAATCTAGTACAGGGCAAGAAGACTTCCTTTCCACTGACCTGCCAAACACTTCTGAAAGAAATTAAGACAAACTTCTGGCATACTGATATACTCCCCATATATAAAAAAAATCTTTAAATATTATCATAATGCACCTTTAAAATTATTCTAAAAAATAAAAATAAGAAAATAATTTCAAAAAGACATCTAAGATGATACAAATTCACAGCAAACCTTAGTGTAGTTGAGCAAATGCGCCATGACAATATGTACTGGTACATCTAAGAGATTCCTTCTCAGCTGGATCACAGAACAAATGGACTTAATAGGCAGGCAGAAAAAGGAGAAGACAACTCCTTCCCAAGCATCATTACATTCCTCTTCTCCCCCACACACGTGCACTCTAAAGCAGTGATTCCTGGGTTGTGCTCATGTCAGGCTCTGCAGGTCTTGAAGATTGCATGTCTGCACGTCCCACACATGACATCCAGTCCCTGGTGCACAGGACATTTCCTGTGTGCCTCATTCAGCACTTCAGTGGTGCCTACTCAGCATTTGACACATCAGTGCCCTGCTGAGTGCTCTGTTCATGCCACCTGGAGCATGAACATGGTCATACCACCAGGGAAAGTCATCTACACCAAACCCTACAGCTCTGGGCCTCAGACAAAAGAAACAAACCCAAATAAACCTTCAAACCTATTGGAAACTAGCCCAGCTTTACTAGGTGTAAGGATAAGGTCTAAGAACAATATTCCATGAATAGAAGAGAGCTCATCTGTTTAACAGCTATGTTTGAGAAAACTTCTTAAACGGTGTGACTGGGGACTGTGTCTGAGAAGAGACTGAGGTCCTGCTTCACACATCTTGGTGCATTTTCTCCACTTGTATTATGACCAAAGCTAAGCCATCCAGGGCTGAAAATAATGTACCTGGTGGATGTGGGCTGATCCTTGCTGCTGAAACAAGCCTTGAGAAGCAAGGCCAAATACTCTAAGTGTAGCACTGAGCAGGTATCCACACACATGGACCTGCCTGGCTTCAGGCACAGGTTTGCCACAGATCTGTTGGCCCCTGGCACTGACTGATCACAAACACCACTGCCTGCTCCCTGTTGGTCATACCCAAAGAGAATTTGGCTTGTTTCGTATAGAATAACAAAAGTCAAGGGAACATTTGTCTACTAAATATATAAAATATGTAAACTCTGGGGACAAACATCTGCTTAAGTTTAAAATTAACTTTTGATCAGAGACAGGCATGGTCTGGGCTCAGATAAACTTGGATACAAACAAGAGCACAGTGAGGGTCTGAACCAACCTTTTGGTGGGAATTGCAGGCAGATGTGGAGGGGAGGGTAGGAGAGCACAAGAGGAGGACAAAGCTATATTAAAGCTGTTTATGGACTGTAATTAGGGGTGAATCAAAAGCTGTGTAGGAAAAACAAACAAGCCAAACCAATGGTAAAATCAAGAAGAAACTAAAAAACATGGTAATGGTTAAGCTAACAGAATACCAGCCTATAAACTGTTTACAGTGTGCCCGCTGTAATAGAAATATTTTGCTGGGATTGGAAGCCTAAAGTCAGAGAGACACAGAACTGGTGAGTGCATAAATGTCAGTCTGTGTAAGAGTGAGGGGCCAGTTCCTGTGCAGGGAACAAGTTACTCACATGCTGCTGCCACTCAGGAAAAAGTAAACTTATTTGGCTAAGAGGTAAAGATGGTGTTTTCTGTGTACATGTGATGGTAGCAACTATGTCAGTATTCTAAAATCTTTGCTTCCTTTGGTTTCTCAGGGTTCTATTGCCTTGAAAAATTTCAGTGGTTAGTTTGCAAATACCTGATTTGTGGGGTTTTTTTTGTTTGGTCTGGATTAGGTTTGGTTGGGATTTGTGGGTTTGGTGGCATGGGTTTGTTTGGTTGTTTTTGGTTTTGTTTTGTTGTTTTACTGTTGTTTTTTTGAGGTAAAAGCTTGAATTTTGTCCTATGAGGGAAATAAATCAGCTAGAGCAACAGCAGAGCTACTCTGAACATCTTGTTCTCCCTTATAGTTTTGAGGAGCAGTCAGGAATGCCACCATGTCTCTCCCAAAGACACAGGACATACACAGGGAAAGAAATTTAGTGTGGCTAAATTTGGGGAAGAGATAGATTCTGCTCTTCCTGTTGGGTTAAAATTTTACTTGTTTTGGACTTATTTTTCCTGGTGGTGAGTTTTGGGGTTTGCTGCTTGGGATTTTCTTTTTCCATCTGACTTCTTGATGTAGCTGCATCTAGGAAGTGCTCCAAAAATGAGTGAACGTGTTACACTTCTGTGGGTGCTCTGTAGAGGTATCATTGAAGAGCCCCAGGACATCCCAATAATCCTCTTAGGCAGGGATAATGATCCTCAGTGAAGTACACTGCATTTGGCCTTTCTCTGGTGGAAAGATAAACACTGCAGTCCTGCTGACTTCCGCAGTTAACTCAGCACTTCCTAGATGATAGTGTTTGTTTGTTTTATTTTTTGTTTTGTTTTTTTTCCTGAAATATAATTGCCATTATGTATGTCTGTGATAAAATATATTACCCTTGACTGGTTAAGTGGTGTTCTCTGATTCTCTGTATAAATGTATTGTGACATTGAACCACCAGGTATTGAAGGTGTAGTGCTCAGATATTAGAATGGTAGGGAACTTAAATATCTAGAAAGATCCCTGATAAATGATACACTCTGCAGACAAACCTCTGCCAAATTCTATTCAAATAGCACAGGGATAATGTGAATATGACTCTAATGAAGGAAGGCTGGAGTTGCCATAATGCATGCAGGTGCAATTGCTCCAAATCTCTCTTAAAATCCATTTTCCTGCCAGTGCTCATTCTTCCTTTTAACAGAAGTTAATACTCTGCTGACATTACTGAACTCCATCATGCTCATTATCTCAGGCTAGCATTTAGATCAGGTTTTTGGAGGTGAAAGACCAATTCATTAACTCTATTGTGTCACTCAATGACTTCCTGTGGAGAGATCATAAGTCAGATGGGGGTGTCACTGCTGGAAGATAAAAGAGAGCTATAAAGTAGGAAGACAACTGGTATAATTCACAAAAATGAGGAAAAAAAATACTCTATAGCCTTTAATTTCTATTCATAGTTCAGGTTTTAAGCATGTTATTTAGATAACAGTGCATCAGGTTTTTTTTTTAATGAGTTTCAGATATGGAATGAAAGAGGTTATTGGTTGGTTAATTTTTTTTATTTAAAGGAGAAAATTAATATAGGCAACAAGTAACACAGAAATCCCTGTTAAAAAAAAAAAGTGTGCTTCAAAGCCTGTCACGTTGAAATGCTGATAATATAATATAATATAATATAATATAATATAATATAATATAATATAATATAATATAATATAATATAATATAATATAATATAATATAATATAATATAATATAATATAATATAATATATATATTATTTTGTCTTAAAGGGAAAAAAATGAGTGTTTGGAAAATCATTACTTTATCAAAAAGAAAGTATTATGAAATTGTTTTAATTTTTGATAAGGAAAGAAATGGCTGCCAGGAATCAAAATCCACGTATTTGATTTAAATAAAATCTCCATAGTGTTTCTTAAGGTTAAAGACAATGTTTATTTTTAGAGTACTCTCTGGTGTATTCTAAAATATTCTTCTCTCTGAAAGAAAAAAAAAAATCTCTCTGAAAGAATTGTGTAGGACTATTATATAGAAAGTAGTCTCCTGCTGCTACTACTTATGACAGAACATAAAGTGTCTCAGCTTGCACATGGAAAGTAAACATGCAAAACATACTTCTTGTGCTTTTGAGTTTTTTGTAGAAAATTTTCAAATATGAGACTTTACCAGTATAATTAACAACTACTTAATGTGGAGAAGCAGTGTCAAATAAGGAATGCCTTTGCCAGAGAGCTTTGGAGTCTCTATTCAGCTTCCCTCTACGTGGGAACATCATAGAATCCCAGAATGGTTTGGCTTTGAAGGGACTCTAAAGACCATCTGGTTCCAACCCTCTTGCCATTGGCAGGGACACCTTCCACTATCCCAGGTTGCTCAGAGACCCCATCCAGCATGGTCTTGAACACTCCCAGGGATGGGGCATCCAGGGCTTCTCTGGGAGAAGCTGGGCAACTTCTTCCACTGTCTCACCATCCTCACAAAAAAGATTTTCTTCCAGATACCTAATCTAAACCTGCTCTCTTGCAATTTAAAGTCACTTCCCTTTCTCTTATCACGACCAGACGGACCCCCTGGAGACATTGGAAGGCTGCGCGAAGGTCTGCCAGAGCTCTCTCTTCTCCAGGCTGAAGAACCCCAAACCTTCAGCTTTTCCCCACAGGACGATCTTTGGCGGGACTCTCTCTTGCTAGGCTGCAGGGAGCCCCGGGGGAGATGCGGGATCGGGATGGGGACGAGGGCAGGCGCAGCAGGCCCTGTTCTGTGGCGGGGCCTAAGGCCAGCGGTGAGTCTCTGCCTCAGCAAGGCACAGAGAAAGAGTCCGGGTGAAAAAATGCCAACATCAGAACATGTAAACATATCGTAGTGAAATAAACGGGCAAGGAGACCTGCTCCTTTTTGGATGCCTTTATTATGTGATCAGCTCTGGGAGGGGGCCCAAGGGGTCGCGCACACCATTGCTGCCTTTGGGGACACAAAGCAGGAGATAGAAAGTTTTTCTCCACAGCAGAACTGGGGCTTCTGTCCTCACGGGCTTGCCTAGAAACGATATTGGCCCATAGTTTAGGGGTGTCATCCAAACTGAGTACTATTAAACACAGGACAGAATCAGGCTCTGCTTAACGGTGGGTGATTTCCTGTGGTTCTGCCAGGCAAAAATCAAAGTTTCGGTGCTGGTTTGTTGTTTTTGAGAGGGTCCATATAGTACCAACATCCCCTCATTAAATTCAGTCCGGGTGCAAGTCCTTCTGGGAGCAGGGGAAGTGGTTCCCAAGGGAAAAGGATACAAATACAGGGTAAGATGGTAACACTTAACAGTGGTAACCATAGGCAAGTCCCAGAATGCTAACATCAATATTCAACAACAGACCAACAGTTCAAATTAAGACTCTATCAACTTCATCAACATCAACTAGCAATTACCACTCTGAAAAAAAGCTCCCATCTCCAGGGTTTCATTTCTCACAGTAGCATGTTCTTGTGCTTCAGTACCTTCTGGTAAACTCCCTCCTTCAGCTGATGGCACTGGGATTTCGAGCAGATAACACAGGCTGAGGGCTGGGAAAAAACCCAAAACCAGCAGCTGTTATCAGTCACTGAATGAAAAGCAACAGGACCGCTCTTACAACTTTTAAGGTTTCAAGCTTAAAAACCCCCACGACTTGGTGAAATAAACACGGGCAGGAGAACTTTCTCCTTTTTTATGCCTTTATTAAAAGCGATCAGTTCAGGTGGGGAGAAGCAATGGGCTCATACTCACATCAGAGTGACTCGGAGGAGAAGGAAGAGCTCAGCTTTGTCCACAGGTCTGTGGGCAGAGCTGTGGATTTTATCCTCACAAGAGCATCAGGAAATCCCTTGCTTTTTTGCTTCAACATTCGATGTCCTCTGTCTAGCCGACATCTTTGAGATTAGGGTGAGGAGTAAAAAGGGTCTTGATGACTACTAGATTCTGTTCCTCACATCTCGACATTGCATTGATTCATCCAGTTGTTTTAGGGGGTTTTGGCTAGGTTTGGTGAGGGGTTCCTCCTGTTGCATGCTGGATTCAATGTCATTTGCATGTTGACTCCATGTCCCTTCCCCTTCACCATCTGGGTGCCATCCTCCAGGAAGCAGCAGGGGGTCACTGGGCAAAAGGGAGAATTCTTAACTGTCAAAGACAGGTAGTTAACGGAAAGGACAGGTGATTACAATAACAAACAGTTAGAACTCCACCCTGGCAGCAACTGACCCAACCTGTTAACCCTGCAACCTTTTAAAAAAATGGGCAGCTTTTTCTACTCATAACACTTGGGAAATCTAAGATCTTCCTCAGTTTCTAATGTGTTCACAGAATCACAGAATGGGTCAGGTTGGAAGGGACCACAGTGGGTCACCAGGTCACACCTCCCTGCTCAAGCAGGCTCGTCCTAGAGCACACGGCACAGGATTGTGTGCGGATGGTTCTTGCTTATGTCTGGTGAGGGAGACTCCACAGCCTCTCTGGGCAGTCTGTTTCATTGGATGGTCACTCTCACAGTAAAGAAGTTCTTCTATTCAGGTGGAAATTTCTGAGCATCAGTGTCTGCTCATTGTCTCTTGTCCTATTGCTTGGCATCGCTGAGAAGAGCCTGGCTTCATTCTCTTGTCACTCTCCCTTCAGATATTTATACATTGATGAGGTGCTCAAACCTTCTTATTCCAATAAATCCTGGGATTTCTTTTCCTATTTTTCACTTCTTATTCATTATTGATGAAAATTTGTGCGGTTTCCAAGCTGTACATAAAATAAGAAGCCAGTTTTCCTTTCTCCTAGATGGTTTGGAAACAGCTACCTTCTCTTCTTCACCCTGCCCCCATTTCAGCTGATTCTCTTTAATGCTACGATATTCTTACTTTAAGTGAGAATCCCTTTATCAGATCCTTTACAAATGAAAGCCACAGTTGAAAGGAAAAAGAAAAAAAGAAATTCTAAACTGGTATCAATCTTTCTATTATGAATGCAGTTATTTATTGATCAATTTGGTTGCTCTTGCTGTGTTATCTGGGAGCAGATCTTTGTTCTATTTTTCATCTGGATTGAAGCACTCTTCACAAAACCTTTCTTTACATTTCATCCATGTTACTATCTCTTCTGTTCCCCCTCCTCACACCCATAAGCTGCACTCATTTTAAATATTTTCTGATATAAACAGACTGGTTGATTTTTTTTTTCATCAGGTAGCAGCTCAGTAATTGGAAACGTAAGAGTCACTTAATATAAAGATCACTGAAAATCATAAACCATTTTCTTCTTGACCTTTTCCACCAAAACATTAGCTTCTGAGTCAGCCTGCTTTGAAGCTACAGAAGCACTACATATTGTTATGTTGGTTTCTGACTTCAAGCAATTTTTTTCTTCCATTTCCTCCTATTTTTAGCATCTGAAGGCTGAAATTTTACAATATGCTATTGCTCTTTTTTTTTCCCCAGGAACAAATGTCAGTGCATCAAAAGCTCACTGCTTTTAGTATGTGTCACTTGAGATCACTGGGAAAAAGTACTTTGTAAGCCTCCTTATTGAATCATTAACCGTGGGCGCTACTATAAATAGTTTTCACAAAAGTTCTGGGATCAGTTATTTCAGCATCACTTCACTGCTAAGTAAAATTCATAAAGACTCTCAGCACTGAACAAGGGGACAATAAAACCTATAATCCCAAAGGTGAAGAGGTATGCAATCAAAATATTTTACCTGTATGTAGCTTTTGTATGTGTTTTGGTATATACCCTGTGGTATCACAAGAATTTCTATCCGCTATATAGTATTTGCAATGAAAATAACTGTACAAACTCACATACACATGTACTTGGGTTGTTGACACCCTCTCTCTGTTTAGATGTCAGTCTTAAATCTCCCAAACCTGAAATGCTTTCTGCAGCAATCCAGTCCTCTCAGACAACCATACAATAATTGCTTCTTAGGATCTTGGAATCTCTAGGAAAATGGTTCATATCATCTTTCTGATCTACAGTTATCAAGGTGAGGGAGTGGTGGGGTCACTGCAAACACATTTGGCAGATCCAGACAAAGGCCACAGTAGCTCTCCTGTTGCCTTTGGTGTGCTGCCACAGAAATTCACCCTCAGTGTATGCATAGTTATGTCCTATATGGTCCTATAGCTGTAGATGGGGACAGGATCAATCTCCTCATGGCATATCCAGCTATGACTCCTGTACAGCCTGCAACACCAAGAATTTATTAAAGAGCTGGGAGGACTCTTGTTTTTTCTTGATAATCAATTACCTTTCCTGCCACTGGGCCAGAGGTGTTCACCGAGTGCTCAGAGGCATTCACTGAATTTAATGAATCTCTGGGAGAGGTGTGATAAGCAGAAAGACATTGATATATTTGGCAGGAAAAACCAGTACAGGTTTTCCAGAATGCTGTTCAATTTGCCAGTCATCAAGTTTGTATCTAAAGCAACAAAGAAATCAAATATATTAAACATCTAAAACAGGGCTACTAAATTGCCACCTAGTGGTCTTGTAATGAAGCTAAAATCTCCAGCCTGCTGATCTGGCTAAACAATATTGGTGGGAGTTTTGTATTTTTGTCAGGGTCCCATTGTGCGTGTTCTCTGATGCCTTGCACATAGTGTGATTGGAGCAGAGGGGTGTCAGGGCACAACTTCCAAGCCAATACAAGACAATCGGAACTTCTAGGGTACCAGGGGCAGCTTGTACAGGATGTAAGGTACCAAAATGGAATTCCTGAGCCAGTCAGCCATCCTGTGCATAGGGTAAAAAATGCTGCCAGGTAGGAGCCCTAGTGTATTATCTGTACTGCTTGCCAACTTTTCCTTTCTGACAAAACAAAGAAACAAGCAAAAGTAAATAAGTTGAAATAAAAGACTTTCTGACTCTTGGGAGATTAGTTAGGAATTTGCTTCTTCTGAGGCTCAATAAGATCCAGAGAGATGATTGTGGCCTTTCAGAACCTACAGGGGCTATGCAAGAAAACTGGAGAGGAAAATGGAGTGACAGGAGAAGGGACAACAGCTTTAAACTGAAAGTAAGTTTAGGTGAGATACCAGGAAGAAATTCTGTACTGTGAGGGTGGTGAGGCACTGGAACAAGTTGCCCAGAGAAGCTGTTGATGCTCCATCTCTGAAAGTGTTCAGGACTGGCCTGGACAGGGCTGTGAGCAACCTGGTCTATTGGAAGGTGGCAGAGGGGTTGGAAGTAGAAGATCTTTAATGTCCCTTCCAACCCAAACCATTCTACAGTTCTATGATGATTCCAGAGGAGGAAGCACTTTGCTCTGCTGGGTGTTCTCCCACCTTCTCGTCTCACTCTGCCTGAGCCATATGCTCATCAGCACGTGCTGTTTACACAGAACCAAGCAGATGAGAAACAATAAAGAAGCACAAGTGGAACAGTAAGTTTTGCAGTTCTGCTTTTGTGATTGGTCTGCCCAGAAGCGACTAAGAGAGACTAAAAATAATTTGCAACATGATGAACTGCATAAAGAAATTCTCTGGGGATTAATGCAGCCTCAATAATTTTACCGATAATCAGGTGAGGGAGCACTGGATTGACAAAGCTGATGCTCACAGGAGGTGGAGGAGGCAGAGGCCTCGTGTTAGAAAGTGTCCCGGAGCGGGGGCTGCTGGCTACATCTCTGGGAGGACACATCAGTTGTTTCACAGATAAGTCAGAGATAAGTCAGTCCATGGAAGCAGAATCCAAATGATTCATCTCCCTCCTCCATCCTGTCACCTGCTGGGACCTAGTACAGTTAGTGGCTGAAAGAGAAACATCAGCTCTGAAAGACAGACTGAAAACCCTTATCATACTTTTATTGAGCTCCTGGGTAGAAAAGGTGCCGCATGAGTATAGCATTGGTCTGAGGATGCTGCATAAACTGAAAGTTTAACCCTGGACAAAACACATCCCCTCGCAGATTACTTACAGATCAATACCTTGATTAAAGTATTGGCAATTCTTGTGTCCTCTCTCCTCTTAGGATGAACTGAGAGCCCTGCAAGCAAAGGTCAGTGAGATGACATAGGTCAGGAAAGCTAGATGAAGAAGAGAAAACAAACATGGCTGGGGCAAAGGGTAGGACTTGGGTAGCAATATAAATAATCAAATTTTGACATTAATATTGTCTGCCTACACTTCAGATGTTATGACTAAAATACAACTCACCATATAGAGCACTATATATAGTGGTAGTTTTCCTTTCATATCACTTTTGGCCTGGTTGACATTAATCTGTTTTAAGATAAATCTGATTTTAATTTGTGGGCATTTTCCCTTTTTTTTTTTTTTTGCGTGTACATATAGTTCTCTTGTTTCACATTGTACTTTGTTCTTGTCTAGGGAAATCTGCACCATGTTTCTCTTTGTTTCACAGATTTGATTTGCACACTGCTTAGTTTTAAACAAGTATCTATAGTTATACTAGTGTCTAACCTCACTCCATTAACTTAATCATATTTTAGTCAATTAAGTTCTCTGTAGAGTGAATAGCTATATAAACTGATTTACATTTTTTTTAAGGCCTCAGCTTCCCTTCCTCTAGTTATTATGGAAGCACAGTAATAGAGGAAGCTGTAAACACACTCCACACACTGATGTGCCACTAATCCAAACTACCTAGTATAATAAAAAGGCACCCAATTAAAAGCTAGTTTACTCCTTAATGTACTCTAGGTGATTTGATCTTTAAGGAGTACACAATATAAGGTGAAAGGTAATCAATACAGTACTGTCTGAGCAATTGCAGATATAACTGCATACCTGTTGTCAATAAAATTATCCAGGGACACAATGCCCTATAAATGTAACCAGCTTTTTCAAAAAATAAATGCTCTGCTCCAAACCTGAGAAGCTGGTAAGCCACGAAATAGAATCCACATGACAATTACTCATTTGAACTTTAATGTGTGCCATGAGTTTCTCTTTACCCTAACCTTTTCTGAGTTAGTCTCTTCAGGGCTTATTCGGATCGCCTTTGACTAAGGGATTTACCACACCATCAGTCTGTCAGTGTTCTGCTATCCCAGTAGCTTCCTGAGTTTTCAGATTCCATTCAAATTGCCATGCCAAATGGCATCCATATAACTCTGCAAGACATGCCTTTTATTTCTGGGACCTCATGCCTGCTGTAGGTAATAGTGAACACCTTCAAATACCTCTCTTGACATGTTTTACACTTTCTAGGTAGGGGGTTCTAGATTCTCTGTGTTCATCCCCACAAATAACCAGAGCTAATGGCTTGGGATGTGCATTCAGCACATTTCTTACTTGAGTCTTATACATTTACAAAATCACTGAAGGCTTTCATGAGGAAGAAAGCATCATCCAGTGTTACTGTGCCAGCATTGAGTATGAAGAATAACTGTTCAGTTGCCACATGTAGAGAACATACAGTGAGAACTTATTTGTGTTGGCTCTGAAATTGTACACTGTCTTGTCCTCATCTTATGGGCTATGCAGTTTTTACTCAGCTCAGAGCAGTCAGACTGAACTTGTGCCTTCCCTAAAATACCTGAAGATGCGCTGTAAGGGGCAAGCTGTCTACACTCACTGCTCTGGCAGAGAGCTACATTAAGGCTTTTAAAAATTGAAGTACAGTCAGGCACTTAAAAATGGACCACAGTTTTCTCAGCCAGTTGATATATCTCAGGTTAAGTGACAAAACAGGGCTTTCACAGGAATTTCTTTGAGAGACCTTAGCCATGAGCAGGGTAACAGAACAGTCATGATCTGAAAAATAATAATATTATTCTCTGAATGTATGGAACAGTAGTCAGTCAAAGGGATGTAAAAGTTGAAGTAACCTGAATGTTTTGGGGTTTTTAAACAATTTTAAATCAAAATTGTGAGTGAAACAAGTTTGACCTTTTACAAAGCAAAGTTGCTTTTATTTATTCATTGTTTATTTTCACTTCGCGTGTGTGTCTGTCATCTCCAGGAATAAAAGCACTGAAGTCAATTCCCTTCTGCCTTTCTTTATATGGAGCTGGTATTTATAATGAGCCTCCAGTCAGCTCTGTCATATTAAAATGAACTTTCTGAATTATTGTTGTTCGCCTGATTTCACAATCAGCCCTTTGCAACCCACAACATTGTCACTAGCAATCTAACCAAAGGCAAAAATTTCTTTAATGTCTAGATCAGTTTATGTTGAATAATATCAACACCTTTCAGCAGCAGTAGTATTTAAATACAGCTGGCATGGAACAAAACAGAATGCCTGATTTTTAAAAAAGCCTCATACATCCATGCTTCTTTCCTTCCTGCTGGAATCGTGTAAGTTGTAAATGATGGGGGCTGTTTTTCTCCTCTTTCTATGTCTTGGTAATACTTGGTGTTTTGCCTTGGGTGTAAAGGTTAAAAACTTAATAGGTTGATGGTCTTTGCCATAGGAAAGTGACTTTTCCATTAGAAAGCCAATACATTTATAAAGGTATTAAAAATTTGGGTTAAAAAAAATTCTAGCATATATGTTTCTGTTATCCTTTTGATAGAGGAAAAAAAAAAATACTGTACTTTGGAACACTGAAGGAATAAACCAGCCAGAGATAGTACCTTTACTTGCAGATTGAAGTCCATTTCCAGTTAACATTTCAAATATTTTTCTTTACTTTTTTCCATTACTATTTCTATTTACAGTTTTTCAAAGAAAGACAGTATCACGTATCAGATAAATAGGTTGGGGGCGGAGACGGGCGATGGACAATAGGGGAAGAGATTGCCTATACCCATTCTCTATTCATCATCTTTTCAATAATCTTTTTATCTCCTACAAAAATTGAAATCTTCACAAAAACACAAGCTAGATTACTCTTCTTCCCATGTTTTTGCCTGTTGGGGTAAAGAAATATTTACACCATCTGATTCCAATAACTGTGCTAAAAAAAGACTCATATAGATTCACAACAGGTGATTTTAATTTAAGAAAATGTATTGGTGTATAAAGCATTAATACGGTTTAGAAAATAATTTTAAAATTTTATTATCTCTCTCAGCAACAGAACTGTTCAATTTCTATGCTCCAGATTGAGATGAACTTTGAAAAAAATGCTAAAGACAGGCCCTTGTGCATATTACCAAGATAAATTCTTTCTTTGCTATATAGTCCTCCATGTGCAATAAAGATACACAGGAATAAATTCTGAGTAAGGACTATTTCTAGTCCTATGGTAGAGCAATTCCGAGTTCAATCTGACTTTAACTCTGCTTCAGCACAGGCAGAATTCTCACCTATTCTGAGGGCAGTACACTCGCTCACGGCAGGGCTGCAGGAGCTTTGTAGCTCTTTGAGGCAGCTCTGAATAAAGCCTCCCTACCAACCTCAGCCACTTGCCAAAAGTTATCACAGATCGCTGGAAAAGCTCTGTCACTGAGCTAAAAATCAGAGCGCAAGAGCGGCTGCACACTCAGCTGTTAATTCCCATTTTTCCAGGGCTTTACCTTGCCATAAAGCGTGTGCGCCACCAGAGGGCATGGCACGCCTCAATAAAATGCAGCTCGGTAAACAATTCCAAAGCCAGGGTGAATAATTCCTCTAGTCTTCTTAGGATATTGGACATTTCATTTTACTAATCAAAAGCCTACTGCAAACTGAACTAACCCAAGTGGAGCATCTCTCAGGTATTTCCCAACTGCTCTTTCATTCCAGTAGCTCCTTTATTGGGAAAAACAGTAAATTAATTAGTTCTCACATGTAAACAAAGATGGAAACTAAACTGTTAGAAATGAAGACATATTTTCCCTTCACAACAAATTCATATGATGAAAAACTTAGGAACATGTTGATTTTTCCGATATTAATTGCATAATTTTAGGTGTCATTTCTCCTAATGCTTACCTAACACACTGCAGACTTTTTCTAGTGAGTGTTTATGTGGATTTTGCCTTAGTAGCATCAAGTAATACTGAATTCCACCACCTGAGAAGCCATCCTTTTGCATATTATTAGTCACAGAAATATAGCACAGCTGGAAGTACATTGTTCCTTTAAGAATTTTATTTAAAAAATATACTTTCATTTCAACAGTCTGCAATTTTGTATAAGGATTCTAAACATTTTTTCCATCTCAAAGAACTTAACATGTAGACAGCCTCTAAATCAATACCTATAAATTCTAATTTTCTATAAATCAAGCAAAATTAATGCTGTTCACTAAAACTGAAAGAAAATGACTGAGAAGGCAAAGAAAACAGCATTTCTCATACTTCTGTGCAGCTTTTCATTGCGATTGGCTTAATGTTTGCATTTTTTTCCACAGTCTGATGATTTTAGCACCATTTGTAATGATCCCTTAGCTTCACACCTGAAAACAACTTTATTTTCCATTTCAAGATTCAAAACTCAGTTATCTCACAAACTCTTTTTTACCGAGTAATGTCTTCCTGCTTTGTAATATGATTGCATTTCTGTTCTTCGGGTAGAAACAGGGTCTTAGGGAAAGCAATGCAACAGGAGAGCTCACATACTACTGTATCAATGCATAATTATATGTGTTATGTGTTAGCAGATAGTCGAATAACCATTTCCTCAGTGTAGCACCCTAGCAATTTTCTAGAATGTTCTTAAAAAAAGAAAGAAATGTGAGTAAACAATCTTTTTTTTTTTAAATTTCACCTACCAGACAAAGTTTGGAATCATCTATACTTCTAAAATGCAGTAAAATGAAAAATTATTGAATAGACTTTGTAAAATAATACATTTCTTTTTACAAAAATACTGAATTATCATTGAGGTCATTGATTAAACTTTGTTATGTAAGAAAAGAAAAACATCTAAGATGTGGGTAAGTCATCAAATAGTAAGAATGGAAAGTATTTTCTTTGGCACAACACTTATTTTTACACAAGGATGTAAAGAGTATAGCAGGCAATGATCTTCACAATATTCAAAGCATCCAACTTTTCAGGTTTGTAGATAAATACTTAACTTCAGATGTAAGAATGTAAACATAATAATTATTTTACAAGGCAATAATTATTTTATGTGTGTTTACAAGGCAAGGGTGTGCAGTGCTTTAAATCTATTCCTTGTATTGCAGAAGCCCATTGGGTCATTTTCAAAGTGAATTTCAGAATATCATTACAGGGTAGGATGCACTCACTTGCCTGTTCATCCAGGGTGAGTTTTCTTCCTTACCTGAACACTGGCATAGCCAATTACTAGCTTATAATAATGTCTACATCAGAATTCTACAATTTGAAAGTAAAATGTTTATATGTAAGTCCAGTCCTAAAATTAAAATATTATTTCATTCTGCTTCAGTGAATCAGAGGGAAAATGCCCTCCCAAGAGAAGGATAAATGCCCAGAGGCACATACACAAGTGACTCACTGACACTTTCTGTACATTTTCCTTCTGGTTGTCTCAGAACTCAGCAAAACACCTTGCTGGTCACAGATGAGAGAGGTCCTTGTCCAGGTAAGCCTAAAATGATCTCAACTTTCAGCATCATCTAGGGCTGCTCTATGAACGGGAAGGACTGTGCTAGGAAGCAAAGGGTAATTCGTCTGAAAAGCAGATGTTCTGCTCATCAGAACATTATATATATTAATTGGAAACTATGGGGCAATATTAAGTCAAATCCCAAGGTTAATAAGGACAGTATCTGAGTTTTGAAAGTCTCTAACATAAATACAAAGTTATTTGAATTTAAGCACACTGATTTCTACCCACAAGGCCCATAAGTCACTGAACTTGGCTCAAAGCCCATTTCTGGATATGGGCCCTGCAGTCCCTTGCTATGGTGCTATAAAAACTTACACAGGTGCTCTGAAATTTGAGCTATCAAAGTCAAGGAGACTGCTCTCAGGAATTAAAAAAACCCTCTTTTGCTTCATATTGGGAGGAATGAGTGGCAGAAAACTTTCAAAATACCTTGTATTTCTTACTACTTTTGCTGACACAATTTTTTTTTTTTAATGCCCTCTGTTTATCACAAACATAGGGTAACCCAGCTGGGATGCAAAGAGGTTAATTTGCCTCAAGTGAGCCAGACATTCTTAAGTAAAAACTTCTGCAGAAGTTATAAAGAAAGATTATGGATGTATCCATATCTTAACCAGTAATTAATTGAGAAGTTATCATCTCTAGCCAAAAGGTTGGCTTTCAACAAATGTTTTGAATTGTTATAGTTACTACATGCTTATTGGAGCTATGATTTCTGAATGTGTTTGGGGTGGCTTTGTTTGTCTTTCATGTATCAGTTTGGGTTTTTTTTTTCTTTTTGAAAAAAATAGATTGTTTTAAAAAACAATCTAAGGAGGGTTTTTTAGGGAGTTGCTAAAAGTCATCCCAGATTACAGCAAAGCCTGAAAAAAAGAGAAATTTTGCCTCAGTCAGAAGCGGGAAAATATGTTGCCCCTATCACTGGTGCAAAGAATAAAAAGTGCAGGTCAATGGCAGCAGCTGGAGGGAGACAAAAAAAGAGTGAGAGGATGGAAGTCTCATGGTCAAGGAAGAGACGCCTCTGCAACAACTTGTAAACAAGCACTTTAATCATGTTTGCTATTTCATTAGCATTTGAACAATTCAGATTGAAATATGAAAGATGGTTTTATTTCCCATATCCTTTATGCAGGGCCTGGACAGCTTTAAGCAAAACAATTCTCACCTGAATTATAAGGATAACAATTTCTCTGTCTCAAAGGGCTGATTATGAAAATAAATTAGATGCTCAGATGTTATAGCAATGAATCCCAGTAAATTAAAAAGAATTTTCAAAACAAAATAACCACATTTACATTATTTTTTAGATACCATGATTTCAAAAAAATTTTATGGAAATCATAAGCTGTTTGTATGTAAGCAAGGAAATTCTGGATGGCTTACCCCGGAAATGTGAAGAACTTATTGGGAAATACTTCAGCTAGTTGACAGCAGAACAGATCAAGAGGAGAGTACTAAATTATTAAATGACCTACACTACAGCTTCTTATATGCAGTTTTGCAGCTGGAGGAGAAGTGACTGCTAGAATGCTTAGTTTGGTGTCTTCAAAATGTCTACAGTGAGGCTCTGGTTTGAAAAGTGATTATGTAAAAATAGCACTTCCTACTCAGCAGATCTGTTCTTGTATGCTTTAGTAGGGAGAGGAAAAAAAAAAACCAAATAAATCAAAAAACAAACCACTGCATGACTTCAGTGCTGAGCCACCATATCTCTGGGGAGGTGGGGAGGGGAGAAAGAAACTGCATTATACTCTAGTTTATGCAACTTCATCAAAATCCCCAATTTAAAGCTATAATGTACCTAAGCAAAACCCATCATTTCAAAATTGTGCCCTTTGAAATCAGACCTGCATAACCTCATTACCTTCATCTGAATGGAAATGAATGAAATGAAAGGAAATAAACCCTTCACATTGAAAAATCATGATTGGATTTCCTCCAGCTTCCTATCATCACCCAAACTAATCAAGCTATTTTCTCCCCAGGTGGAAAATGAAAAGAAAGAGAGAGGTGATGATGATTCTTTTTTTAAATATTTGGCAGGTAATCTCTGAGCATGAAGCCCATATAAGTTTCAAGAGGTTACATGAGGACTACAGAAGGCTAATACTATGACAATAGCTGCTAGCACAGGGATGTAAGCAATACAAAAATCAGATTCATGCAGTTTGGCCAGCCTGTTTCCAGGGCTGTCAGACCTGGAAGTGATGGAGTGGGCTTTGCCACTATCAGCTGCTTCCAAAAGATCAGTATGTCATAGCAAATGCTCCGCTTTAAGCTTTTCAAAAGAAGTCTTCTATGTCAGAATGATTTTTTTCCTGAAGAAGAGCAGATGAAGAGGCACTTGTAAAAAAAAAAAAAAAAAAAGTAAAATTCCGAACACAGGAAAATACATACTTAGTATCTGTCTAGAGATTTGAAGGGATACTTTGATCATTCTTGCCAATTACATACCTGTTAGAAGAGAGTATATTTACATATTTAATATTCAGCTAATCTCCAAAAACTTTGATCAAAAAGACATGCCATTTATCCTCAAACACTGTGCCAAAATTTCATCTCTAGATAGCCTAATGTGTGAAGTGATGAATTTGTTTTCAAGTCTTTTACAGAATGCCTTCAATTTTTCACTTCAGATTAAAACACCTACCCTTTTAACAAGTGCACTGCTTCTCCTGAACACTATCTTTAAATATAAAAGAAATCATAGCACAATGGTTCCCTCAGGGTTTTACCTTTTGACATTTCTCTAAGAAAACATCTCAGAAAGAAAACAAATGGCATTATGCTTGCAGACACAATCCTTTTCTAAATGAACAGAAATGTCTACATATTTCTTCTCATCTGTGACACATTTTAGTGTGCCTTACAGACAGAGATCCTGAGTGACCTTCATTAAGTCCCTGGACAAGAAGCCTGACTAGCTCTAGAATTGCAAGTTCTGAGTATGGGCTTGTGCATTAATGGAAAATGGAAAGGTTACCACATAAGTTTGCAGAAAACCCCAGCACCAATTCTGACAGAAGAGAGTCCAGCAGCAGAGGTTTTGCAACACACTCTGGACTCAGGTCTGTTACGATAGATGTAGATGTAACAGATCCCAAATTAAAGCACATTTTTTTCTTTTATTAATTTGTGTTCTTATAGAATGCATCATTTCCAAGCAATGTCTAACCTTGTAATTCTTTTCTTTGTCTGTACCAAGATTTCTTCTAAGCCTTTTAAAACATCTCTTTCCCAAAATAAGAATCCTCCCAAGAGTGCTTTATTCAACAATGAGAGAGATGCAAATGCAGCATCACAATTCCTTTATTGATTAAGAATGCATCATTTGCTTTGAACCACAGACTAGATCTTGGAGATGTTTCAACCATGGTCTACATGTTTAAGTAGTAGGCATTATGTACCAGGCATTCCTCTCCTTACAGTGCCAAGGATTCTAACAGTAGAGTGCTAAGACCTCCGGCAAGTAAGATGAACAGTCTGGTAACAAAACTCTATCTGGAGCCAGTGCCAAAACAGCACTACTTGTTTACAGCCCTAAAATTGAGCTACCATGACAGTCTCTCTGAAAAAATAAGTTGAAAAAAGATTTTAATTACAAGTCTTACCTGAAATACTCCAGTATTTAATCAGAATATTCCTTAGTGATGCTGCTTTGGGGAGACAGTGTAGGAATTAAGCTCTGTAGGGAGGCATCTCTGACCCTTCCTCCCACCATGGGAAGGTGAGGTCCCCTCTGGCAGTGTGTGCCTCACTAGTGGCATTTGGGGCTTGAAGGAAGAACTGATTTTGTCCAATTGTTTTCAGGGTTCAAGGTGCAACTGGACAGACTTATTTAAGCATGGACTAGAGAGCTCACTAAACTACAAGATGACAAACAGGCAGTAAGAATATGGGAACAAAACATTTTAGGACACAAGAAATTATCTTTCAGAGAGTGTAGCAACCTTTTTATGCTTGTCTATCACAGAAATATTTTGAAGGTCATAAAGCATTTCTTCTTACCAATTATTAGATTAGTAAACAGGAGAGCTTACTAAAGGGATATAAATATTAGTCTTTAAAAAATTGCAAAGATAAAATTAAATAGCCTTTAGCAAGAACACTATTTTTCTTTCCCCATCACTAGATTTGTTACTTTTTTTTCCTTTAGTCATAAGACTAATTTTCTTTGCAAATGTTTTTTCTACCTGAGACAAATTTGTAGAGACTGGTTTACTGAGAAGAATTCTGACACTTTCCTGGCAACTTGCAGTGATGCCTGGTGAAAACAGCTAAATTTTGCTGTAGAAGAAAATTGCAAAAAACTCACGAAAACAGCTTTTGAACTTATCCAAATGTGATCTCCCTAAAGAAAAATCTAAATAGGAATGTCAGGATTGTAGTTTTTAACTTACTTTAGGAACCTTGTTTGGTATACTGGCCATACAGCTTAATAGTAAAGCTGCTTTTGGTTTGGTTGGATTTTTTTCCCTATAGAAAAAGAAAAAACACAAAAAAAAACAAACCCAAAAGCAAACAAAACACTGTAAGACTTATTTTTCTTGTAAAGCTGCCTAGACTGGATATCTATGATACAATTTTGCCAGGAGACTGTTTTGTTTCTAGCAATTTCACTCTGAAGTCTAAAAGATCTGATAAAATCTATCGCAGAATAAAAAACCATAAATGTTGGTTGTCCCTGTTTGTCCAACTCCCCATAATCAGACACAAGCAAGTAAAAGTGGGCCCAAAGAAAAGCCAAGAGCTCTGTCTCTGCATGCCATAAATCACAGATCACCCTCCTTTGCCTTGAGAAAAATGTAAGGCTTGTAGTGCAAAAGCTACCAGAGGGCACTACCAGTATTTCGGGTTCCCTACAACAGCAGGAAACTTGTTCTGCTTAAGGGAACGCAGAAGTGCCACAGCCTAGGTATTTCTCCTTATAATGATTTTGGATTTTGTTTTGGTAAGCACTCCAGCCAGGAAAAGGAAACCCACAAGAAACTTGCATCCAATCAAGCAGCGTGACAGGGACTTTAAACCTTATGTACTTAACAAAACTCATCATCAGTGCAATGCTTTTTATATCCCCTATCTTGGTAGTTAATTTCCTAAATAAATTTTCAAAGCCTCTTATTTAAATTCTTCATGGGTATAACCTGTTAAAGGTGCTTCAGATGACAACTTAATAAAGGCTGATCTTGTGAAAACAGAACAGAACAAGATGACAAGAAATTAGAGTGCTATTCTTGGTTTTCCTTATTTTTTTTTCTAGTTCTGAAAAATATGTTTAACCTTGCTGTACTTCACTGTACTCGAAGGCTAATGATATATGCCTATTCTACAGAGAACTGGGAAAATAATTATCTTTACATTTCAAGGCTATGGGAATGAAAAGTATCATTACTTCACTGTTATTTAATTGTATTAAAAATTATCCTTCAACTTCCATTAAAGTCTTCGGTATTTAACATAACGAGAGAGCAGAAGTAATGAATACCACATTTCCTTATTTTCTCAATGGGTAAAGGTATTTATATGAATTAAGTGGCAAAGCCAAGTCTTTTTAGAGGAAACAGAACCTAACTTCTTTCCAAAGGAAGAAGAACCTCTATCAAACTCGTATCACCAGTTTAGTTTAAGTTCTCCATAGTAATTTTTTAGTGTTTCAGGTCTAGGAGCTTGTGGGTTCTGCTCTAGTAATTACACTGCAAAGAAAAATTATCTAAAGTTATCTAGAGAAATGAAACTCTCTGGTGTTAGCATCCCAGATGGGAACATAAGAACAGTAGGAAGCTGACTAAACACAAATCTCTATATAGAATTTTAATAACATTTTCTCAACACTGTGCTGACTAAAATAAGGTATTTCAGAGAATTTCCTGTAAAACAAAAATCAGATCTAAGGGCTCACTGAAAATTAGTAACAATTATTAATGCCACTTCCTCCTTCCTTTGCACTAGGCAATGACTGTGCTTCTGAAAACAACTCTTGCAAAATCAGAAGAGTTGTCAGGAGAAAGGAGACTATGATGGTGATGTCAGAAGTTTAATGATCTATTAAAAGGGAACATTCTGATAGCTGAGCTACATAGATGAGATGCAGTAATAAACCCATGTACAGACATCCCCCAGTTCCCAAAGAATCTACACTCTGTTTTAGGCAGAGAAAATAGTGAAGTTATTTTGGATGTTATTGTACTTTGCAATAACACCATCTTTGGGTGTTACTGATCCCTGTGACTATTGGGGGAAAAAAAAGTGCGCTAAACAACCCTAAGAATGTTTATAGTTCTTTAAATAGTAACCATCAAGAGATAAATTTATCAGAGTTAATACTTGTTTAATTTATATTTTAAGTTTTTAAGGTTTTGGATAAAATGTAGGTATTGAGTAAGTTGGTTTGAAATTTTTGAAACTGGTTATAGCAGGTCACATCTTAGCATGCTAAAAGGTTTACATCATGACTCACTAAGAAGGCAACATAATTCAAATGCTGAGTCTTTACTGTTATGTGTTTCCATGTCTTTTTTTTTCCCTATGAAATGAA